GCGACGTCAAAGCATGGTCGTCTACGTAGAGAAGCAACGTCACTGCATCGTCGTGTACATAGGGCTATTCATACACGCACGTTATGCCGTTATTCTCTGGGCACACGCCAGCAGAGGGGAGGGGGAGCAGCGTTCATCTTGAAATTTGACCCATTTCCGTGGCGCGTAGCGCTGCGAATTTCGGCAGACGTGATCATGAACACCTCTTCTACGCATTGTGCTTGTCAGCTCAAAATTGTCAAACCTGGTGAGTGGCCCTTTAACGTCCATGGTAATCGTTCGTTGCGAGGCTGCGATGTTGGCTTTGAGCTGTTCGGTCCAGCTTGCTATCGTGTGCTTTGTGGTTTCTCCTGATAATTTTGATGACTGCGTCCGTATTTTCCAATATTTGTCCGAATCGATTTGTCAGTTTGCCTCTGACCTGGGAGTTCTGCATCGATTGAGAGAATGTATTGATCGCAGCCAAAGTGTACGCCCGAGTGGCACAAGCCGCATTTCTCCATGCCCAGGATGAAAGTTAGGTCCGGGGTAGTGTCGCGGCGTGTGGACGTACTACACTTAGTTGGAGTTTCCATGTCTGTGATGAGAGTGCGATCTAGATCAAATGCGTTCGTGTGAAGACACTCACCTTTGCTAGAGGAATATGTATAGCCCCATGCCTTTTGTGGGACGTTCAAATCGCCACCTACAATAAGAGCATTATCTTTAGCGATGTTCGGGTTCTTACCGAGCACGCTTCTGAACCCTTGCTTTCTAAACTTAGCGATGTTGTACTAATTAGGGGAAAGGTGCTTAGCTTGTTCTCTACGTGGTCGTTAGGTATCATCTTGATCATCAGGTATGCTAGATAGCAGGATGTGTGGTGGATTTCAGCGAATGTACGAGATCTTCTGGCCTATCTGAATAGCGACGCCTCTTCCTTGCTCGTTTCTGTGGGTTTTGGCCTTATAGCCCGAAAAGCTAACTTTCATAGTGTGTTTTTTGTAGTAAAATTACTTGTGGTTTCTCGGAATCTGATTTTACTATCTACATTGGCACTCCTTTTTTTACGCGATCTTCCTGCAGTTTCATTGTCCGACGCAGAAATTTCGTGCCCTATTTGTCACTACCATGTTGTCCATCATAACCCCCTTTGCTTGGAGTAAAAGCATCTTGCAAAGGGCCATGCCCGCCAGTGTGCTGTGACTTCAAGCTCTCCATGGCTGGTACTACAATAGTGTTCATATACATTCCCATATTTAGGGGCGAAGCTCCTTATAGCGGCACCCATTCGTCCCTCGTAGCCGATGTAGTGTGTAACAAGTATAACAATTCGATCTTTAAGGTGGTGCCGGTAAGAGATTCCTTTTGTGCGTTGTTGAACAATAAAAGGTAGCGTTCAATGTACATGCCAGTGGCGGCTAAGGGAGAATGAGAAACAGGAGCATTCGGCTTTTAGTTAACGCACACGCTGCAATCCCCATTAGCAGTTATTGGCATGTAAATTGATCACTATCTGACAAGAAACGGTTGCTACGTTATACTCGCTGGGTGTAATCTCCTTAGTTATAGAAAAGTGTAGCGAGCGTTCAGTCGCAGTACCATAAATACAATGAACTAGTATATACCATGAACTCGAGGTGGTTAAAGGTGGGAAGTAGATACAAAGCGCAAGCCGTAAACAAGTAAAAGCCGAACTCTCCTGTCTCTCATTTCCCATTAGCAGCCATTGGCATGTACATTGAGCACTATCAGACAGGGAAAGGTTGCTACGTCATACTCGCTGGGCGTAACCTCCTTGGTTTTAGAAAGGTTTAGCGCGCATTGGGCTGCAGTGCCATGAATACAGTGAACTAGTATATACCACGAACTCGAGGTGGTTAAAGGTGGGAAGTAGACCCGAAGCGCAAGCCACAAGAAAAAGAGCGAGTGCCACCTCTCGTTTAGTCCTTGGAATCTCCGCTGAATGGCGTTGCTTCTATATGGGCTGTCAGGTGGATGGACGTGTTTTTTGAGCGCTCTGGATCGGATCGACTGCGCACATAAGTGTTTTTGCATGTTTTGAGCTTGTCTTTATAATTATAAGGCAGCGGTTGAAATCTTCGTAGCACTTATTTTATGGTACGGCTTTTTCGGGGGCCAGTCACCAGGTATTTATTAGTTAGTGCGGGTGTGTGTGTTTGAACTTTTTGTTGTTTTTTTTTCTTTTGCCACCCCGTGGGGGAGGTGCGCGTACATTGAACACGCAAATTTTTGTAGTAGAGCTTAGACTTTCTTTTTTTTCGTAGTGCAGGGCTCGAGTTTTGTAATTATCGAGTATAGGGACAATTGGTGTCAGAAAGGCATGATTAAAAATACTGTAAAGTGTTCAGGATGTGGAGTGGGTTTGAAAGTGGACCCAAGCGTAGAAGCGGATGGAGAAGAGGCTGACGCGAAGTGTAGGCAATGTGAGGTCGAGGAAAAAATGGAAAAAATGATGGTTGCCCAGAGTGAACTGCTGATGAGAATCGCCGAGCTCGAGACTGCGTTGGCGACAGAGCAAGAGAAAACGAGGGCAATGGGAGAAAGACTGAAGTCCGCCGAGGAAGCGCTAGCGAAGCTGAACAAAGAAGCGACCTACCCAGAGAACAGTAGGGAACCGGCAACCAGAACGGTGGAGAAGGAAAAGCAAACAAGTTTGGAAAAAACAGGTTTAGCCGGTTCAACTGTCGCAAGGCCCAGCTTCAGCGAGGTAGTGGTGGGGCAGGGAGGGAACAAAGCAGCCGGCGTCACAGGTGCAAGTAACCCCCAGGTGCAGAACGCTCCAGCTGAAAAGTCACAGCATGTGATAATCGCCGGGGACTTGAATATTAATCGATGCACAGAAGCCATCAAAAAGAGGGTAAGAGGTGACAAGAGGGTTGCAGTAGGGGCGTTCCCAGGACGCTAGCTGGAAGCAGTCATGATGCAAGCGAGCGCAAAGCTCCAAACGACAGCTGATAGACGAAACCTCGTGATAATTTCAGGTGGTTTAAACGATGTCCTAAATGAAGATGCAGCTGGACTAGCAGGCACACTGGCGAAAGGCGTCGATGACATGCGAGCCACTTCTCCTAAGGTACAGTTAGTGATATGCACAATACCGGAGGTACCGGTGCGTGATAGCAACCTGCAAAGAGCGGTGGTCAACGCAAACCAAGAGATATGGCGGATGAGTCGAGAGAAAGGCTTTGAGGTGGTGGAAATAAACAGAGAGGTGCATAGGTGGGGGGGTTTTCAACGAGACAGAATTCTCTTCGATGGGCGGCTAGGTCATGAGGTGGGTTGGCGACTTGCAGGACGCGCAGTAGCTTTTTTGGGGGGCAAGCGAGCCCTTCGGGGTGCAGGATAGCTACTAACGAGGGAAACAACCAGGGAGAACTCTCGACAGGTGGTATGGACAGATACGATTCCAAAGTGGCACCAATATCTAAGATAGGTAGAGTCCGGGGCATAAATAGACGGCTGAGAAAAGGGTTCCTAGTAGTACATCAACAGGCCCAGATGGCATTCCAATTAGGCTGATAAAGACATTAGTCCGAAGCACGCGCAGGCCCTGCATAACGCTATGAGGACTTGCCCCTCGGTGACTCACCTCTTGCACTGCGTTGTCAGTCGGCAGTCGGGGCTCCGCGAGGCTCACACATGTCGGGTTGCGCATGCGCTCGCCCTTAACAAGTTCTTGTACTTTGCACCCTACATTGAATTCCCCCAAACACAACTCAACGCACTCGAAAAAGCTTTATGAGGCCTCTACAAGGCAGCTATAAACCTTCCAGTCACTACCTCTACCACTAAGCTTTTTGCCACAGGCCTCTTTTATCCATTACGTACTCTTATTTCTCTACACCACGACACTCAGATCGCCCGTCATTCTCTCACTCATCAAGGCCAATGACTATTGGCCCAAGCCGGTATCCCTCACATTCCCGCTTCTGTTTCCACCTTTCCTTCTACCGCTTGCACTGCTGCTACTAACCTTCGTATCCTTCCCTCCCATCCAAAATGTCTCCCGTTCTTCACGCAGGCCGGCGTCATGCGGCAGCACAACATCATCCTCCTCCTCTTTCTGCACAGAAAGTTGGCTACACGAATGCTTCATACATGGCTCCTCGGGACTCGCGTGGCTACGTCCACACCTTTTGGCACTTGACACGCACACCAGCGGGCCATACTTGCACCCACCAAATGTACTTTCGCTCGAGGTTCTCTCCATGATCCACGCCATGCAGTCATTTTCCTCCCTCCCTTTTCGCCCCGAGGACACAATTTACTCTGACTCCCACGCCATCGTTCGTCAAATTCAGAACAACACGTTGCCCCCCGCTCTTCAACAGGAAGTCGAGCGAGCGGCCTCTGCTTTTCCACCCTCCACTGTCTTCCTCCGCTGGCTTCCTGGCCATTCAGGTATTAACGGCATTGAATTAGCTCATCAGCTTGCCCGCGATATATTGCAACGGGCACCGTTCATTCCCTGGCCCACAACTTCGGAAGGCAGAGAGAGCTCCGCGAATAACGATGGGCAGATCTCCTTGCGTCATGCTATCAAGGAGGTATATCTCCAGCTCCGGCTCGACAAGCGTCTTTACCCTCCCCCTCATTCATCACGCACTGCGCGCGAGGCTCAAACTCTACGACACATTCGAATAAATTGCCAGATAACCCTCTCTCACCTTTTTCTTTATAGATATAGGTCTCACCCCTGCTGTCCCAATTCCCCCCCCCTTATATGCTGACCTGTCACACTGCCTGTTTCACTGCCCAACTGCTCAGCAACCAGATATTACCCTCCACCATCCCTTTCCCTCACTTCCTGGCTCGAATAGATAGGCGCCGAAGGGGAAGAAGAACAGCATCGACTGGATGCACAGGTGGTCGAAATGCTCGGCCTGTAAATTGTGGCTGAATAAAAGTATATTACTACTACTACTATTTCTTTTGAGAAGTCATTCTGTTGCTCTGACGTAACACAACATTACCTTGCTCTAAACCTATAAACTCACCTGGTTAGGCGATGGCAGTAAGCAGGACGCACCCACGGCCATTCGACACTCCACCTGAACGGCGTCCCTGGCGTTTCCTTCATTCGGGTCAATCCAGTAGAGGCCGTCGGGGAGGTCAGGGCGCGACGCGGCCAAATCACGACATGTTCTTGCTGGTGCATCTTTCTCGCCGGTTGGGTGCCGAAGCTTGTCATATTCGTCCACCAGGCGTCGGTAGTAGTCAAAAACAATGCGCCTTTTTTCCTCCAGTGGAACTGTCGCCTCAAACAGCTTAGCGGGTTCGTCGCCTGCCAGGAGGTCTGGTCCTTTCACTTGGCCCTGCCTGCACATGCGACCTCATTTGTTTATTGCTTTCGCGTGTTCCAGTTACCACGAAATTTTGCAGAACTATTTTTTTCATTCGTTGCGCTGCTAAAAAAAGCTGCCAGGCCTGCGCAGAACGCGCAGCACAATTGTAGGGAAACCTTGACAAGCAGCCTTTTAGAGGCTTTTCTGAACACTATTTAGTAACTGGTACAAGCACACTTGGTAGGTTACCACTACGCGATAAATAATAAAAAATTTCGTGTATTAGGCTGGCATTGACTATGGCTTCCTTCATCATTCTTCGAAAAAGTGTGGTTTCCGCTATACACTTCTTAGAAATTTTGTGCAAGTTATTAAGCAGTGGATGACTACGACGAAATAATATGCTTGATGTTCGTATGCGCCACAGTTAACAGGGAATCAAGAACAAGCTTTTGTTACAGATTGAAGCGTTGGACGACCTCCTTCTTACGCAATTCGCATTGTGTGCCACCAGTTTGTTCTTTTCATGCACTAGAACGCGTTATTACTCATATTACCGCTACTCCTTTGCCGACATCATGAGTGCTCAATGTCAGTTAGGCGAAGGGTTAAAAGCATATGATTATTTACTTTATTGGGTGTTTATTCATTTTGGAGGAGCCGCACGACTGACAGACGTGCTGAGCCACCTCGATCTACAACGTCTGTGTTTCGAGAAAAGGCAGCAATAGGCGTAGTGTTGTAGAAACTTTCGACTCTGTTCCAGAGGGACATGGACTTCTGGACATGTGTGTTTGTTTACCGAACTTTTGAAGTTCGTTGGACTGTATGAAAATATGTCTTGTGCATATCTGCACGTGAGCACATTATTGAAACGAATTTTTTGTATAGGTATAGATTGAGTCAATTGATTGCATTATTTCTATGCAATAAAGAAAACATTAGCGCTGTGGCTGAGTGGTCAAATATTGGGCTGGCAAAAAATGAGCCCGGGTTCAGATACTATTGTGTGCTTCGTGGTTTTTAATTTATGGAGTTGCAATACCGGTTACTGACACCCACGGTGGTGGAACACCACGGCACCGCCACCGCCGATGGAACAAGTTTTTAAATGCAAAGCATTGCTTAGCGAACTTCGGCGACTTTGATCGTATCTATCTATCTATCTAGCCGCCTACGACTTTGTGCTCTCCTGGCAGTTTTGATAATGGTATCAATACCAAAATTGGTATGGCATAACGTGACTGTATGAAGAACGTACTTGACTAGTGATAACATGAAAATCAAGATATGTGTATATATGTCATGAATGTGATGATTTACTTTTCATGGTCCAGCAGCTCCTGTGGTGGTTTCGTTCACATGGCATGTTGCAAAACTAAAATGGTATGACATGATTGCATTGAGACATGCAATAATGTCATAAGCGACATACCCTAACATGAAAATTATCACATGTGTGTCATTTAACAACATGATTACAGGGTACGCTCATTATGCGCTCGCGGCCGTTTCGCTAGCGTAGCCTATACTAAATTTGGTATTACGGTACGTGAATGAATGACGAAAGTACGTGACTAGTGTAGACATGATGATAATCAGAAGCGTGTCATGTAACATCATGACTACATGCCACGCTGATGATGCACTTGCGGCTGTTTCGCTAGCTTCATTGATACAAAATTTGATATTACAAGTAAATGAATGACGAAGAAATGATACTGGTGCAAACATGATAAACATGAGATGAGTGTCATGTGAGAACATGACTACATGCTACGCTCGTGATAAGCTCGTAGCTGTTTCGCTAGCTTCACGTGTACCAAACTCGGTATTACGTGACGCCAACCCCATTGCAAAGACAGCGTGATGTCAGTACGTTTTTTTGGCATTGGTTCACGCTGGGGACACTGGTACTTCGCTGGGCACACTGGAAAAAAGCTGTGTAAGACTGGTAGGGGCACTGGCTCAACCACTGTGATGCTGGTGCGCACGGCGAAGAGCTGGATGCGCTGAAATTTTCACTGACAAGCGCTCGTGAATACTAGAGCACGCGCTGTTTCTACCAGCGCAGCGTGCACGTTATTGTAGCATGTGCCTGGTATGTTTCGGTGTCGTTGAATATAAAACGCTTGATTCGACGGCATGGAAAGATGCTACCCTAACAGATACCGAGCATACGTAATTTTTCGCGGTGCACGGATGTATCGCAGCAATTATAATACAACTTTTTGGCATATGCCTCCGCGTATACCGGCCATATTCGCATCATCCGTGTATTTCTGTAACGATTTCAAGTTGCAGTGTTTGTAAGCCTGGAGCTGCACGCCCCTGCTAACAAAAACAGTAAATTTATTCGCGTGTGTGGTGCCCGCACAAGGAGCGGCGACGATCGCTGTGTCGTGCTTTAAGCAACGCAGGCTGTCACCGAAAGCTTCCTTCTGAACGCTTGAGCCGGTGCTTCTCTGACTCGTCTGTAAGAACACGCAATTTTGAGTTCGTAGTTTGGTACGCATTAGTGAACTAACACACTGGCATACTTTTTCAGCGGATTGCAATAATCATTTCTTCGGCGGTTTCTTAGTTGCAGGTATCAATATAACTGCAAATATGTAATTTGGCACACCGGATGTGTACTGCTACATCGTCGCTTGCACGAAAAAAATCCTCAGTATTCACTCGTGTGCGCGGATGTCTACCAAACAAGACCTTTAAATCATGTGTACATGTTGCCCAGTAGCAAGTGCGAGATCCGACTATCAAACGAAAAAAAAAAACTATGGCCAGCAACAGCTGACAATCTGTGGCGGCTCCTCCAGTCATTTTGAGATTTTTCAGAGTTAAATGTGGATTCTCCAGAACACTTTCCTCTCTTGCTAATATCCGCATGTCATTCGGTGTCCGGAAGCCATTCGTCACTGTCGAATCAAGACGCATTTGTTATTTGGAAAGGAATATTGTATCAGTATTGACTGTGCGACTTAAGAACATGAAGTTGAACGGCGCGTTCTTCGGATAAATAGTTGTTTTACAACTGGCGTGTTGTAGTGAGTAGCGTACTTGGTTTCAAATCATAAAGTGGTGACTGTAAATCTCGTCTGGAGGCGTGTTATATTTTAAATTTTTATTTTTTATATTTCAATGTGCATGAGCATCATTTCACTTATATATTTATTTATGGCGAATGGGCACCCACGTTTTAACCATGTGAAGCGATATTGTGCAGAGCACTTGAACGCTTCCGCTCCAGTGTCCCAGTACCTGCGCTTGGAGGCGCTGGTACCAGCGCCATACTTGGCCCATAATCAGGCATGGCGCTGGACGCTGGTACCCAGGGGCGCTGGTTTTTGCAATAGGAAATGGCTGACGAAGGTATGCGGCTGGTGCAAACATGATAATCATGGGATGCTTGTCATATGAGATCGTGACTACATGCCACAGTCAAGGCGCCAATACATTTCGGCGTGACGCTTTGCGCGTGCTCGCCAGCGTTCATTTCGTTGCGTCACGCGGGCGTTGCCACGCCAAACCATGGTCCGGCCATGTACTCGCAGGCACGTGCCGCGTTGCGTTTCTTTGACGCATGCGCGTTTTGGCGCACCCAGCGTTTCTCCGTCACAAAAAGAGGGAGACACAGTGTTGTCTGGATAACGCATTGGCACGAAATAAAGCATGTCGCATTTCGCGACGGCTGCCGTCGGGCCATGCCGACGGGCACTGGTCGCACTGGTCACGCCCGTTCCGCCGGTTGCGCCTGCATGGAGTCAGACTATCAAGTGCTCGCGTTTTGCTAACGTAGCGTCGCTGTGGCCACCGTGCGCGCACGTCAACGCTACATTCGGGTATATTGGGCCCTTCATGATGCACTCGTGCCCATTTTGCTAGCATCACATACACCAAATTTGTTGTTACGTGACGTCAACGAATGACGAAATATATGACTGGTGCAAACTTGATAATACTGACACGCGTGTCACGTAAGAACATGACAACACACCACGCTCAAAGCGTGCTCGCGGCTGTTTCCCTAGCTCCACATATACTAAATTTGCTATCATGGCACGTGAATAGATGACGAAGGTAAACGACACACTCAAACACGATAATCATGACACGGAAGGCATGTACGGCGTCATTTATCTCCACCTCGTAACGTTGTGCCAAGTTTAAAGTGACATATCAACCTTTCTCATTTGCACTTCGCATATCATCGATTCCCACTGTGCATGGGATCTGACATTTTTTGCTGTTATTTCTGCCAGAGTGTTCTAATGACACAGTGAGGACGGGTGTCAAGTGTTCAAATGATGATGATGATGTGTAAGTTTTAATGGCGCAAGGGCTATGTTTGGCTAAAGAGCACCACAGAAAGGGGAAAGAGTGGCAATTATTTGCGGTTTAATGGCGAAAAGTAATGTCTGTCAACAACAATGATGCTACAAGTCTGTATAAGGCCCGAAAATTGCTCTCCTTAGGGCGCATAAAGCAGATAACATTTTAAAATCATAAGGGTGAGGTGAAACAATTAACTAAGTACTAATGCCAGTACTCATAGTAAAAAGAATAATAAGAAAAAGTTTGGGCTCACGTAGTACTTAGCACATTTACCTCTTCAGTGCCCTTGAACACAAGGGCCGCGAGGTAGGTTGCTGTCCATTTGGCCATCACAGCAGCAACCTCAAGACGGAGGCTGTGTTACTGATGACCTCGGAATTTAGTGTTAAAACTATGTTCTCTTTAAAAGTGTCAAAAATGATTTTTTCTTTAAGTAGGGCATCCCTGCCAATGATTATAGAAGGGTGCAATGGAAGCTGCTGTTGGTAGAGCAGTAAAAAATGTTTTTCTGACACCATCAAATTCAGTGCACTGGACAAAGATGTGGAGAACTGTAAGTGGTTCGCCACAATTGTCAAAACTGGGGTGTTCACCGCCCGACAGAACGTAATAATGTGTGTTGTGTGCGTATCCTATTTGTAGCCTGGTAAGTGCTACTGTGCGTAGCGTGATTGAGATACTGGTGGCAAATTTTCAAGT